CGTTGGCGTCACATTAAATACTTGACATGCGCCATCATTTATCCATCACCGATACTATTTATGACACATCGGACCATGCCGGCTTCGTGCACCACCCATCGCATCTCATTAATGGCGAAATGACAATGCCCATCTCATAGCTGATCCACGATCGACACCTGTAAAGTAGATGTTGACTCAGCCGCCAGCTCAGACTCGGCCAAAAAGACTAGACTACCTCTCTTGCTTGGCTATAAAAATGAAAACTATTCCAAATACAAGCGTAAACAATTTCTCAGTATTTTTCTCCATTCCGCTATATTTTTCTCATATTCCCACTCAAGCACCTAGCTGACTTGATCGTCGGAAGAACAACGGGGGAACTAGTCCCCGAGGGACGAACATCCCAACTCCAAATCCGATATTCGAAAAAGCGAACGGCCCCTATATCAACCCAACCCCTATTCTACCTTCTCTTTTAACTGTGTGATTTAAACCATCAACAATACTATAATATATCTTGAATGGTGCTTTACTTAGCAGGGAAGGTATTCATACCTAACTTGTGTTTGAGTAGCATAATTTTATGGTTAGAACTTAAAACCCTACATAGGTGTTAGTTGTGGATCTATAGAGAAATTTTCTATGCATTAGAAAGTGTTCCAATTATTGGTTACTTCAATTATTACTCAAATGAAAGCATATTATTCCCACATTTCTCTTTAGAAAAAAACACACCCTACGTCCTTTGAAATTTTGGTACACGATGTTAGGGGCACAAAACTACCCAAACTGTTTAAACCGTTTGGGCGTAAAACATCACAAATAGTTTAAACCGTTTGGGCTAATATATGCCCAAACGATTTGAACCGTTTGGACAATTATTTTTTTTTATTTTTGAAAATAAAAATATACACCCTAACGATTGGAACCGTTGGGGAAGAAACAGTCTAACCGTTTGGGCTACCGTTTGGACAAACGCAACCCCAACGGTGTTTGGCCAAACGGTCTTTTTTCTGGCCCAGACAGTTTTAACCATTTGAGACGTAGTTTGTCCTAACAGGTTCAACTGTTTGGACAAAATAGTTTTGTACTAGTGACTTGATCGGGTAATATGTGGGTCAACTTTAATCCTATCCATATAAGCTTGACATATAAACTATAGCTCTTTAACCAGAAGCTTCTTGCAGAGGTTCAGTGAAAATTTGAAGAGGACTACTAGGGTAAGTGAACATTTTGTTTCATTGCGGTGCATATTGTTGATCTCTAAAAGTAGTTGAAAGGAACTACCCAAAGATAAAAGTAAAGGCATTACTATGACCTAAACCTAGATAATTGCAATCTTCTTGATTCCTCAATAAAGTGACCAATCTCATGGTATATAAAGCATGTAAAGCTACAAAAGCAAGTAGTTTGACACCAAGAGCAATTTAGCACAATAAAGCAATCTATTTCAAAGATGCTACTCTAATAAAGTGGAGATATTCTCTCTTTGAGCCATCCATTCAACTGAATCACTTACTTTACATTGAACAATGCAAATTGTGTGAAGAAAACGATTGCTCATCTCCACAAGCTTTCTTAGTATGGTTGATACATTTTCCACACTCAAAGAAGGATTCCTCTAACTGCTCTCAACAAACACTCCAAACGCTAATAATTGTCCCTCAGATAAGGTCAAGCCTCTCTTTTGCTTCCCAATCTGCCAACCTCTTGAACAGAGAGTAGTTACTTAATCTCTGGTCTTGAAATCATCACAGGCTCATTGGACAAGAAAAATCTCTAGTAAATTATATCCACTGAATATATAATTGATGGTCTCAGGAAGAAGAGTATGAGTTCATCATTGAACCCTTCAGTTTAATTACACAGTTTCATTGATAGTTTCTTCCTTTAGTCTTGGACTGAATTGAACAAGTAAGAGGAGATGGACTTGAGTCATGACTCATGATATCCCACAATTTCTGTATTTGTATCCTTTCGGTTAAGTGTTAGTTCTAGTGAATACATGAGACGAGTCACAATGAAAGGCAGTTATATAGATGTATGGATAAATATGCATGGACTAATTAATAAATCGAATATGATTAATCATTTTGAAATAATTAGGTCCATAAATATTGCCCTAGTTATAATTTGTTGGGATTTTGTCTTTGATTCTTTGTGTAACTACATGATAATTAGATAGGGTTAGAGTTCTATCATGATTAGAAGTTTGGGTTCTATCATGATTAGGAGTTTGGGTTTTATCATGATTAGAAGTTTGAATCCTATTCTAATTAGGAAGTTAGGCTAGAGATAGGGTTTTGGTTTCCCTATATATATTCTTCTATTGGTAGAGGAAAAACAATGAAGAAAAAGTAGAGATGTAGTAGATGAGAGAGAGAGGGTTTCGTAGTCTTTATCCGTGCAAAAGATTACAAGGAGTGGGCTTTAGAGAGAATATGAGAGTTGATTATGTATGTGAGGCTGAGAGATTGAGAGACGAGAGTTGAGTGGTTCCTCTTGTAGTTCTCACTGATATATAGTGAATTTCTCGTATTATTGCCATGTGGACGTAAGTCGAAGTTGGTCGATCGAACCACGTAAATCTCGGTGTTCTTTTTTTTTTATTGTAGTTGTTCTATCTTATTGATTGGGGTTGACTTCCGAGTTGCGCATATCGTGGTAGGCGGGAAGACTGAAATTCCCCCAACATTATTTTCCTTAATTGGCCTTTCCAACCCAACACTCACAAGTAGGCGCAATGTGAAAAACAACTGATTTAAGCATTAATAGCGAAGACATGAGATAAGTCACACTGAAAAGATAGGTAGATGTATAAAAGGATAAATATGTTTGGAGTACTTGTAACTCAAATAATATGATCAATCTTTTTGAATCAAATGGGTCCGCTGAGAGTAAATAGGTACTTTTAGTCCATTGGCATTTTCAACCCCACTATAAAAGAGGAAGTACTACTCCTTTGAATAACATCTGCCTAGAGTATCAAAGAGTCATTTTTAGGACTTTGAAGCAACACATCCTACTTCATTATTCTACTCATAATTACTCAAAAAAAAAAAAAGGATTTGCTTGTGTATCTTAATTAGCTCCAAGGCAACAATGAGTGGCTCATCCGATCTCATCCCCATCGTGAGCAAAATATTTTGCTCTTCTTCTCTAACAACGCTGACGGTCAGAAAGAGGCCTCGTGTTGTGAACGGGGGAGGCTTTGCGGTCACAGATCGCCGTCCGAAGACTATTTTCACCGTGGACGGTTGCGGCGTCATTGGTAGCAAGGGCCAGTTGCTGGTGAGAGATGAAGATGGAGCTTCAATACTCAGAATTCAGAAGAAGGTAATTAAAATGCAATACCCATTTCATATTATTATTGATGGAATTTGTATCATCTTTGCTTTTCTAATGACAATACAACGATGGTCTATTATTCAATAAACTAATGTGATTCACTGGCGATCTAATTGGTAAAAACTTAAAATTGTCCTCAAATTAAAGTACAACAAAACAAATCTGTAACTAACTCATTTACGAGCGTGTCTATTGAGCTGGAAGTCTGAAATTTTTAGGGTGGTGTAGTCCAAGCTCTGAGCACCGGCCATCAATGGAAAGGATTTGCTGACAATCAAGGCACAAACAAGTTGGTGTTTAGTCTCAAAGAGTCAAGAGCATGTTTTGCTAAAAACGAGAGGATCAGGATCTGCACTGAGCCTAGGAGCAGCCACAGAGACTGGGATTATGAAGTTCATGGATCGTTTCCAGATAAAGATTGCAGCATCAATGATCGTAGAGGCGCCATTGTCGCCGAGGTATGCAAAATGTGGGATTAAATTGCGGTACAATTAAACAGCTGCAACTGCGAGTATAATCTTTTGTACTAAAGCAATCATGTTAGCTTTTATTAACAGAGAGTTTATTAGTCAGAAAAACTTCCTAGGATAAGGTTATTACTTAGTAAATCTTGCATGATGCGGTTGTGCTTTTGTATGGGAGTTGCAGGTAATTGTGAGCGAGATGATGGAGAGCAAAGAAATCTATCAATTGATAGTGCGGCCGGGATATGACCAAGCGTTTGTTGTTGGAGTGATTGCGGTTCTTGACAGCATTCATGGAGAGTCCACAAGCTGTTGACTGTATAAAATCAGAAGACTTAATGTACTGAAACTGGCAAACTCTATGTGACTAAGACTTAATTTGTAAGATGATTAGCTAGTTAAGATGGTTGGTTGTTTATTATTAATTTGGTAAGCAGTTGTGATTTGTTTTAGATGGAACGAGCAACATTGGTCCGCGTGCGCTGCCGTAGCATTTGCATAAAAAAAACCAAAATTAATAGTTTAAATATTTGGTTTAAAAATATACTATACATCTAACTACTTTGAACAAAAATATAACAGCTCAGCACACAGTGGCGGACCCACCCTTGTTCAAAGTGGTTCACTTGAACCACCTCATACAAAAGTTCTCTATAGCCTAGTGGTATTGCAGTTGGTAACATTTTGTAAGAGGTCTGGAGTTCAAACCATCCAGCCTTCGAAAATTTCTCTTTTAGGCTTCTTTCCTTTTACCTCCCCTCTATTCTTCTTCTTCTTCTTCTTCTTCTTCTTCTTCTTCTTCTTCTTTTTCTTCTTTTCCTTTCATTTTATCCCTTTGTTCTGTCTACCTCTTTAAGGCATTCTATAAATATTTTTGTTTCTTATATATATAAGTCAAATCATTGTTTAAAAATGATTGTTTTTCTCTTTAATAACCCTTCAATTCCTTCATTTTTTTCCCACCTGCTATTATTTGAGAAAAAAATTTAGTGTATATTTTGAACCACCACCAAAAATGTTGTAGATCCGCCACTGTCAGCACACACATCAGCTCTAAATTCAATTATTTCGAACATGTTGAATCTTAGGTGATTTATAAAGTTGATGGGTCTTAAAGGCAATGGTGGCAAAAACTTTGGGTAAAAAGTCTTTTTTCAGAAAGTGAAAGGATTTAAAAATAAATGAAGTTAGAACTTTGATTTATAGGCCAAAAACATTACTACTGTTTGCATTGCTACGACATTAGCGAGAAAAAAAAACATCTAAGATTTAATGGTTAAAATATTTGATTACATGATGCCTAATCACCTAAAAATATGTAGCTACGAAGCTAGACAGATCTTTTTTTTAAGAGGGTTTTCTATATTAGTCTCTTAAACCTTTCATAATTTGAAATTAGTCTCGCAAATCAATGAAATTGTCATTGGGTTCGCAAATTCTAATGTTATTTGCCCTCAAATCATTGAAATCATAAGTAGGTCCCCGTAGTTCTCATAATTTTTTTTTTAAAATCAGTCTCTGTAACTGTTGCTTCTACCCTAGAGTTTAGAGACCAATTTCTAAGTAACTAAAGAATCGAGGGATATAATAGCTATTCTACTGATTTGAGGGACTAGTTTCTAAATAAGTTAAAAATTACATGACCTAAATGCATTTTTCATGATTTGAGGTATTAATTTCAAAATATGAAAGATTTAAGGAACTAATATTTTAAAAAAAATATTTAAGTAGGTGGGCTTCATAATAAATGAGTTAAACTTTGGGTTTATTTAAAAAAATAGAAGAAAAATAGAAAGTAAAAAAAAAACTTTTTCTAAGTGGGCGTGTTTCAAAATAAATGGAATAGAGCTTTGGGTTTTTAAGTAAATAATGGAAAATTTGGGGAGGAATGCTTCAAGAATCTAAGCTGTGGCCCTTGATGATTGAATTATAGTCATACTATCTGAGCTAGTGAGCTATACAGGTTCGATGTTGTATTGATCTTTTTATTAAAAGTTATTTGGAACGAACAGTAGTTTGGAGGAAAATGAGAGAGATCTTCCCTGGTTCTGTGAGTTCATTGCATGAATGAACAGTGACTTTGTAAAGGAAAACATCGATAAGTTTAGTAGATTGTATAAGATAAATATAAATTAAACTGAATTTTGTGTGAATTAAGAATATAATGATATTTGTATTTGGAATAAAATAGTAATCATTCCCGAGTAAATGCATGGTTGTATTGTGTAATTTGTTGGTATAGGAAATCAGCTCCGCCCTAAAGTTTACAGACTTTAAAGTTGGATTGAGGACCATCCAAATGTTTAAATTATTAGGAAATTAATTCCAACTTTTTGTTGAAACTCACCACTCTTTCTCAAGAGCGTATGACATGCCAACCGATCAAGTGTTTAGCTGTTCATAATCATGAAAAAGGATTAATATAGTGTTTAAATGATAATTATTCCAATGTTTATTTTTCATAATTATGAACAGCTAAATACTATAGGGTTAATTGCAAATAGATCTCATGTAGTATCGATCAAGTGTGGATGGACTCCGAAAATGTTGTAGGCGGAAAGACCCTCTATTGGTGATAGTAGACCCCAAATTACTATTATTATTAGTCTGACTAGGAAATTTCTTCACGTTCTTTATGATCACGGTATCAAACCTCCGGTCAAAATTATTAATTTTTTGCTCTTAAATATAAGAACAAGTTCACTAAGAGTGTCTATGGGCACTTGAGCTAATACACGGGGAGGGTCTATCCGCACAAATAGAATTACAAGAGATCCATCTAAAATTAGGCAATACTGCATGAAGTCTATTCGCAATTAGCTCAATATTTTAATTAGTAAATACCAATACAACGAGCATACTGCATCAATGCCATTATCGACTTTAAATATAGCATTTCAAATATTGTGCTACTATATAATATTTACTAGAATACATAGTGTTTTCTACTTCATCTCCTGCTCTTTCATGGTAGAGTCTCTATAATATATTTTCCCCTATATAAAAAATTGAAGAAACGGCGAAGAAGAACATGAAATTTGAAGTGCACGGGTATGATTACGGGTTGGTCGAACGACAGCATAGGCCCGATCGACTGATAGACTGTAGGATTACAGGGTCTGAAACCCTGTTATGGTCGTTCGACCTAACGAGTTTGACCGGTCGACTAAAAACCTGGTCGGTCGACCGAACGCTTATGGTCGGTCGACCGAAAGCGTGCACAATTACAGGACTGGAATTTGTCTTTCTAGCCGGTCGACCGCATGGCTATGTCCGGTCAACAGCGAACCGGTTATGGGCCAGTTCGGTTTTCCCAGTTAGATTTGGTTTGTGTTTTGATATAAATTAAAATACGATTTAGGGTTTCTTAAGCAGAGAAATGAGAAACTTTTGAGCACTTTGAGAGAGAGATATTGTGAGGGAGTTAAGAGCTTTGGTTAGGATTATTTTTGAGTGGTTTTGTGAGTTATAACTCGTTGTATTTCTCCTTGTGGACATAGGTGAAATCTCCCCATCCTCTCCCCGTGGACATAGGCAATTGCTGAACCACGTAAATATCTGTGTTTGGCTAGATTTGTATCGTATTTGGTGGATTGCACTCGTGATTTGATTTGGTTCTCTTCTCTCGGGTCTTATCGATTCCTTTGGTGTGCGAGCACGCTTCCGCAAAGGCACGCAACAATTAGTATCAGAGCCCAGATTTGAGATCTAGGGTTTTGGCATTAGGTGGAGGGAGATTCATTGTGGAAGCTTAGTTCTTAAAGTTCTAGGCTTCGATAGATATAGCATTGTGGAGTTGTCGTTGGAGATCTCGCTTTCTTCGTGTAGTTAGGAGATCGTGTTGAAGTCTTATCTAGGATTTAGTTGGGTAATTTCTTAATTTCTTTTAAAGTTTGAATCTTTCTTTACATTTTAGAATGGATTGCAATAGGAGAAGAAGTTGGTGAAAACAGCAAGACGATAGCGAGTATAGTTCAGGTTGGATTTCAAAACACTAAAATTAGTATGGTGAAGTATGACGAAAAAATCAATTTTGGTTTGTGGATGAGCGACGTACAGGACACTCTAAATGCTCAAAATTTAGAAGAGACCATTCTAGTCCATGAGAGGCCATCGAAATACGATGAGACGATATGGAACAAGATGAATAGGAACGCTTATGGGGTGATCAGGACTTGTTTGGAATAAGAGCTAAAGTACGATGTGATTGGAGTGACGTTTACGATAAAGATGTGAGAGATTCTTAACAACAAGTACCTTATGAAGAGTGTTGAGAATCGATTGCACTTACTGCGGAGATTATTCAGATTCCAAATGTCCAGGGGCACCTCACTTGTGGCTCATGTGAACGGCAATACAAAGTTATTGTCGGATTTGGCGAACATGGATGAGAAGATAAGACGAGTACAATGCAGTTATCTTGTTAGGCTCCTTACCTGATGAGGAGTATGATACCTTCGTGCTCGCTTTGTTGAACGGGAGATCTTTCATCACTTACAGTGAAGTGGCTAACGCATTGACGAACTACGATTTGAGGAGGAAGGACAAAGAGACTTCTCGTGCTAGCACTTCAGGAGAGGCCTTGTTGATAAAAGGTAGAAGTTCATATCCGAGAGGTGGTAATAGGAACAGGTCAAAGTCAAGGGGCCACCACTAGTTAGCGAAGAACCAGTGTGCATTCTGCAAGAAACAAGGACATTGAAAGAGAGGTTCCCCCAAGCTCAAGGAGAAGGAGAATAGCAAGAAGAATGGTCCAAAGACCAATAAGGTGAACATCACGAGAGGTGATGATTCGATGATTCGTACTTTTCTCTATTGATTACTTCAGAGGTGAACCATATAGATGCATCTGATTGGATGCTTGATTCTGGTGCTACTTATCATGTGACTCCCCGACGAGATTAATTTGTATCATTTGATAAACTCGATGGGGGCGTAGTAGTCATAAAAAATGATCAATCATGTGGTATTTGTGGGATAGGTATCGTCAGGATTTGAATGCACGATGGAGTAGTTCGTGAATTGAATGAAGTGACATTTGTTCTTCAGTTGAAAAAGAATCTTATTTCAGTTAGAGTTTTGGAGGCGAAGGGATTCAAGGTGACCTTTGAGAACACTATAACGAATGTTACTAAGGGATCTTTGATGGTGATGAAGGGAGTCCGTAGTAGGAATTTGTATTATCTAAAGGGGATCATCAAGATTGGTCAGGTAGCTTCAGCTATTTTAAAGGCGGACACGAATAGGCTTGGGCACTATAGGCTGGGGCATACAGGTGAAAAGACACTACAAACTTTGTGCAAACATGGACTATTAAAGGGAGCAAAGAGTGGGAAAGTTGAATTCTGTGAGCATTGTGTTCTTTGTAAGAAGACGAAGGTAAAGTTTGGGACAACCATCCATAGGACGAGGGGCATTTTAGACT